ATTTTTTAAATTATTTATGTAAGTTTAAACATTAATGAAGGCATTAAATACAGAAAAAATTCAATATTTGTACTTTAACTATAATAATAAAATCATTCTGTTAACCCCTTTGCTTATAGTGCTACTAATGGGGTGTTTTATCTTAACAATCTTAGTAAATTTTCAGTTTTCATGGTTTTACAACCATTGTTTAAATAGAAGCAGGTTTTTTTATTAACTTAATTGCAATATATTTTTAGTTATCAACAATATCAAGCGAGACTGAAATAAAATCGTTTACTCGATATAATATTCAAAATCAATTAATAAATGCGATGAGATGATTGCATTGTTATGAATTGATGTATTGTGAAGGTTGTCAAACAATGAACTGTGTTCGTCCAATCGGGTAATGCAATTAGATTGCAACGTTGTATAGCGCTAATCTAATAACTGTTCCCGTTATTTCGAGAGAGAGAGGGTGATACGATTTTCCAGTAAATGCAAATGCCACGCCAATTAAATGTTTAGATATAAAAAACGTTACTGCGATTATTTATTTCTATTAGCTAACTTATAACTCTTATCTGTAGATTTTAACTGTTTTTAAGCGTTAATATGTATATGAAACAAATGAAAAAAATAGTTTTATATTTTATATTCAAATAAATAAATATAAAACATTGATTTTAGAATAGTTAAACTCTTTTGGTCATTTTTAATTACTAAATTAACATTTTTATGTTATGAGAATTTTTATTGAGATGAAAATAGTTTTCTCGTGTCTAAAATTTTCTTGAGCTCAAAAAATACATTTCAAGGATATTTTCAGAAATCATTCGTTAAAATAACTGGAAATTTTCAAAAAATTTTTGAATGATTGCAAGATAAAAGCAAGATCAAAAAAATTCGTATTTATGGAAATTTTTATTACGTCTAACCCCTTTAATTCAATTCACGCATCGTAATAATGATAACAATAGTTTTTATGGCTATCTCTTTAATTAAAAATTTATTCGTAATCCTTCTGATTTCAGTAATTAAAACATCTATTCAATTTATATTTGCATGAATGTATAATAATACGTACAAGTTATAAATTTGACGTTTCCATGTCAATTTTAGTTTATTTAAATTTTAACACATGTCTCTTCATATGTATTCGATAAATATAACTCATTTTTTTTACTCTAAATCATTTAATTGTCAGTGGAATGATCCTAATTCCCTATAGCTAAATCTACAATTATGTCAATAAATGAATGTAGATGCGCATATTTTACATTACGTGCCACGCGCATCAGACATATCTCTTCTATCGGCATTCACTAATTAGTACATCAAATTAACAAGCCTTGTTATTTATTATTATGGTTGTAAATTGTTTAAGTTTATAAAAGAATTAATTTGAATTTAATAAAATTCCTTCAGAAAATAAGCTTCTTAAAAAAATTTTTAAAAATTTTTAAAGAAAATTTACAAGCCTCTTAAAATTTCTAACGACAGTAGCGTTACACATGAGCGACATTATATAGAAATCAATGTTTCTAATCTTTTTTATAAATACTAGAAAATCGAACGCGCTTTGCTTGCTTCTGTCAAAATGTTTATTATCGACAGTTTAATTAATCAATATTTTTACAAATTTTACTCATTAATATTTAACTGTTGTTATGGTAATCGTTGTCATAGTAACGGTTGCTATGGTAACCATTGTCATGTTAACCGTTGCCAAAATGATCACCATAGCAACGAAAAGCGACAATAATGAAAACGTCACATCAACTTTTTAATAAAGGATATTATAGATGTTACTTTGTTGACTTTCGAAGACTTCTTATCAAATAACTACTTTACATATAAATAAGATTTAACCCGTGTTTTAAAAAAGAATACTTATTGGATTGTATACAAAAAAAAAATTAATTGAAAATTTTAAATGTTTGGAAATCCATTTTAAAACTTCATGTCATCTCTCTTTTTTGACATTGAGCCAGTAAAATCATTATTATATGCAAGTAGTAATAATTTCTGGACTATCAAGTCTGAAGCTTTGAAAGATGGATCAGTGAAATCGTCACTAAGTATATTAGTAATTCAATTATCATCATTATTGTACAAAATTTAAAGAGAAAATAATGGCTGAAAGAAATGTCATTGCATTTTTATAAAAGTAATTCTAAAAAGGTGTTTAAAAATTTGTCAACTTTTTATTAGAAAATTTTCACAAATTAAAAAAGTTGTTTTCAGTTTTCTTCAGATTTTAACGTTTTTGAAGCTGTACGAACTACTTCCGGAAACAAACTGTATATATATATATAAATATTATGAGAATTTGAAAAGAATCGAAAGAATATATTTTGAGAAATCAAAAGAATAATTTAATACAATAATATAATACTTAAAAAAAAATAATTTTTAAACTATTTGGCCGTTCGTTAGAGAAACTCTCATTCTTAATTTTATATTGCTATCTGTAAAATATTAAAAAGTAAATTTATATAACATTCTAATTTTTGTCCTTTACGAAGGAATTTTGAGACACCGTATATTGCAAAATATTCGAAAAACATTACAGACCTTAAAGTTCTTTTAAGTCAATTTTAAGTTACATTGATAGTGATTGAAGCATTAAAGTCAAATTTCTATCGTTTTATGGTAAAATTTGAAATATCTAAGAAAAAAAATTCTTTAATAAAATATTTTCTTAAAGCGACTTGTGAAGTTTAATTATCATATATCAGCAAATGCGAATATTGTATTCTTAATAGCTAATGTTTCCCTTGCTGAATCGCAAAATCATAAGATTATGTTTACAATTTATGAATGGAGTTAATGCGAGTAATTTCCTGCAAAATGACTTGCATTTAATTACATAGCTTAAAATTTGTAATGAATAATAAATTCTTAAAGTAAATTTTCCAATTTTCTTAGCGAGACATTAAAAAGATAATGGAATTTTAGATAAGAAAAGTAAAATATAACTTTTATTATGACCACATAAATATGTGTTTAACAAATTCAAATAACAATGTTAAAATAAATCATGATTTTATTAACAAGTTATCAAATGATTAGTTTAAAAAAAAAAAATTAGGAAAACGGTTGACCCTGAAGGCCATCCCTGCAACTTCCCGCTACTTTCATAATTATAATTATGAAACGCTTATAAGCGCTCAAAATTGCACTTAGTATGTTTTTGAGCTTTTCGAGCTCAAAAGTCTGATAGAAGTTTAATAAAACACTATTTTTTGAATTTTCAAACTGCAATAACTTTTGAATGAATGAACCGATTTTCACGCGGTTGGCGGCATTCGACGCAGTTGAATTTCGGTGTAATTCGAAAAAAACACTTTTTTTCGATTTTTTTCGTCAACTCACGAACGAATCAACCGATATTGACCGGCTTGGTGGCGATCGACGTGGTTTTTTGATGTTCAGAGCTGATTAGTTTTTGGAATTGATCGGCCTAGCCGTTTGAAAGTTATTCAAAAGAAACCACATTTGAAAAAATTTTTTTTGTAGTTTTTTTTTTATTTCTCAAAATCTACCGGTCCGAATCGGTCCAGCTTGTATTCAAAATCTAAGTACAGTCAAGCCCTTCGAAGGGCGTCAACCGCGATAAAATCGGTCAAGCCGTTCAAAAGCTATAAGAGGTTTATATACATCCACACACACACACACACACACACACACACACACACACACACACACAACAGCAAGTGGAACACGTCAGTGCCAAAGCGTCAGTAGTAAGGGCAAGCCTCGCACGATTGATGCCTAACGTCGGAGGCCCAAAGCAGAGCAGGAGGCTGTTACTGTCATCAGTAGTCACATCGGTGCTCACTTACGGAATATCTATTTGGGCCGATGCGCTAGAATTACAAGAAGCATGGAGAAAGGCTGGACCAATATATCGTCTGAGTGCCCTAAGAGTAGCTTGCGCCTTCCGCACAATATCTGAGGAAGCAGTGTGCGTCATTTCTGGAACTCTACCTCTCAGAGTCCTAGCTGAAGAAAGAAGGAACCTTTACCAACGAAAGAGGTCAACAACACTGAGCGCAGAAGAACTCAGAACAGAACAAAGACAGCACAGCATCGCACGATGGCAATCTCAGTGGGATGCCGCAGAGAAGGGTAGATGGACGCATCGTCTCATACCAAAGATCGACATTTGGCTGAATCGGAATCACGGTGAGGTCAACTACTACCTAACACAGATGTTGTCAGGACATGGCTGCTTTCGGGCTTATCTTCACCGGTTTAGGCATGACGACTGCTTAAATTTTTTTTTATGATTAAAATCTATAAAAACTTGTATACATAGATCTCAGTAAAGCTAAAAAAAACATATTTACACAAAAAACGGTGTTCTAAATTTATTAAAATAAATCCTATACAGAAAAATAACTCGAAAATAAATTAAAAATTTAAAAAGGATGTAAATATAGTAATAAATATAATTTTTTAAGTTCATGGTAGATTTAATAATTGAACAAATTTGATCTACATTAATTTAACTAGATTTCGTTAGTTTTTAAATTATTTTTTCTCGTGGACATTTTATTAATTTTTTTTAAAGTATTTGTCAAATAAATTTCATGAGTATCTATTAATTACCAGCTATACATTAATTTAAGTACCATAATTACACTCAATAAAATAATAATGGTTCACGGAAATGTGGATATCCATTTAACATTATAAGCTCATATAAAACAATCATTCAATTTAAAAAAAAGAAAAAGTAATTTTTTTTTCTTCTCAGGATGTTGTTTTACGAAGATGGCAACAACCAATTAGAAGGAAAGATTCCGTTGTACATATGACATTGTCAGGTCTTCATTATATGGTTGAAGTAAGTAAATATAGTTTGATTTATTTATTTGTAAAGAAACGCCCTCGGCAATTTACAAGAATATTTACATTTTCATGTGTAGAATGTTTAGTAATACATGTATACAATAAATAGCATCTAATTTATAATCACTATTTATACCCCAGAAATATTATTATTTCAGGATCACCCTTTTTGCTTCATTTTTTATTTTATCTGCTGGTCCTCCAAAAATGTCAATATCTGTAGCATATTTGTTTATGACTTTGCTCATTTTGTATATCGGTGCACGCGTAGAGAGTCGCGACTTTATTAATAGTAATTCCAATAGTCTTGGTTCACGTAGACGAGTGCCTGGTACAATAAAGTTGAGACGTTCAACTAGTTCTGGTACATATATATTTCCACTTACAATATCAGCTCCGCAACAGAACGTTAGATACTCTCTTCTGACTGCAAGAGGTGCACAGCCCGTATATGCATAGGCCCCGTATAGAATAGGTATAACCAAGATGTTAAATAATTTTATCAGAGTGTTGTCATTTAAGAAGTCATTGCTTGTCCTCAGAATACTGCCAAGTACTTTATTAGCTTTTGCGACTGTATTAATTAAATGTCCATCAAAAGTAAGCTTATTGTCGATGTAAACACCTAGGTCTCTAATTTTATCAACCTGAAGTACTATATCACTACCAATATAATATTGATAGTGTGATAGTGATCCGTCTCTCTACCTCGACAGTATTTGATTATTGCACATTTTTTAACATTTAACTTCAATCTGTTAAGTTGACACCAGTTTGATAATTCTATTTCTTTGGATTTCTTTCTAATTATACATTCGTAGTAGCAATATAAAAGTTCGAGCACTTAATCGTACATAAAATTTCATACATTTTTACTAAAAAAATAAAATGTATAACGATAAAAAAAAATTTCAAATTCTTTACATTATTTTCAGCGAGCTGCAGTTGAAAAAAAAAAAATGTAGAACAACAAAGAAAATATTTTAAAGCATATGTCTCTTGTTTCTGAGTTTCAAAGAGCCCTCATATATAGAAAATTTTCTTTTACTAATTCTCTATTAAAAGCTCTTTATATTGCTTCTTTTTTTTAATCATTCTGTTTAATGCCTTTTTACAATGATTTATTCTATAGATTCTAAGCTAACAAAGTAAAATATTAGTTATAATTTAAAATAGTAATTACTAAAAAAATACTGGTTGTACTAGGTATAGAATAAAGACACTAAAAGCTCAATACTTTCTATAAAATACTACAATTTTTCCTCATAAATTTTTTTTTGTTGAAAAATTATAGTTATGAGTTATTGAAAAAAATAAAATTATTTTTATTGTCTTGTATATTTAAATTATAGCAGGCAGTATTCTTAAAATCTATGCAAATTTTTCTTTTTCCGTTAGAGACGAATTTATTTTTAATTTTTAGTTGTCCCTCATTTAGTTTTATTACGCATCTAATATTTATAAATTTTGAATTTATTAGACAACTAGAATTTTAGAAGTTTTGTATCATTCTTGCCAGAATATTCGTGTAATAAGTATCTTCTATAAAACTCAACTATGATACATTTTTGCAATTTGTAAAAGCTCTAGATAAAGTATGAGTGTTTTCAGAATTTTAGTTAGAAAAAAAATATTCGCTCAAACCAGCCCATTCTCAGTTTTTATCCAGATCAATTTCCGATAAATAAACCAGATTTTAACCGTGAAGAAGGATAATTTTACCAAACTTCAAGCAATTTAAAAGACAATTTTAGGGACAATGGGATGTCGGTACGCTTGTAGATCACTGTTAAGTGCCACAAAAAAAATAGGCTACTTTATTTGGTTTAACAACTTATTGCTTGATTTAAGTCAGTCAAAGTTTTCAGAATGATTTTCACGGTTGAAAATTTTTTAACTTCCCGTCTTGTGTGTGTGTGTGTGTGTGTGTGTGTGTGTGTGTGTGTGTGTGTGTGTGTGTGTGTTTGCGTTTGTGTGTTAATTAAACTACTTTTTTCTTCAGTATCGATCATGTGACTATAAGTGTCTAGAAACTCTGAGTGTCTAGAAACAACAATCATTCGCAAGATATTATCATCAAATGAACAAAATTATTAGATCATGATTTTAGTTATAGATTCGTCTTCTAGGAAAAAAAAAAAATGCATTAGAACCATATGGTCTGACCTCGAGCACATGTAATTTTTTTTTTTTTTAGACCTGTGTGATTAATCCTAACTTAAGACAGCCAAAGAATACTTTATTCTTTCCAGTTTAGAGAATCAGAGATTTTCTTATTAATTAAAAATTTTTTTCCATAAGGGTTAAATTTTGATTATTAGAATTTATGAGAATGTCATAAGTTTCATTATCCTTGAAATTTGTTCAACGTCTTATAAACTCTAATTTAAAAACATTTCTTTTGCGAATTAATAAATTAATATTTTTTTCCGAAAAAAACAGCTAGTTTATTTTCATTTTAATTTAAAATATTTATAATATAAGCCTTTATATGTAACGAAAAATCATACTAATATTACAAATAAAATTTGAATATCATTATAAGCCAGCTCTATTTTTTAGTTTCCTCCGATAGAAGCTTTAGCAAAAATAATAGCCGATAGTAAAATTCTATCTGCTCTTTACACTGAACCTTCTTTTATTCACGGGTCAAAGAATATTTTTTCCTGTATTTATTACCATCCCATGTATTTGTAAGCCTCACATTCATCTCAATCTACGTAAAATGCATTATAAATATTCAAGCAAATGTATTTTTTTATAAAATTAATAATATCATTTCCAGGGCTCGAATAATTTTTGAAAAAACATCATAAGTTTTATTTTTTCTTGTCGAAAAAATTTTTTGCTTTCCAAGATATCTTTTCTTCTATTAGATTTAATAATATAAAAACTCGTCGTTCTATATTTTAAAAGCAGTTTTAACTTATGTGTCGTTTTCATTTATTTCAGACATTAACAAGACAACGACCCCAAGAAAAATCGGAATCTCGGCCTGAATCCCGAAGCTTCCCACCCAGTGTGATTTCTATTTTTGAGACTGGAGCTCCAGATACAGAAAGCGTTAACAAAGGAGAAAATGCCGTCAGTGAAGAAGAAGAAGCATTTTTCCAAAAATTCACACCATCTCCAACAATATCAACGCATCAACAATCACAGATTCCAATAGATCAAGCCGGAGCATCTAATATTAAAACTGACGAGATTACGTCCTTAAGCAATAAACCTATTGATAAAAATGAACGGATCTCAGATCGGTCGGATGTTATGGATGAGCTTGGAAGGTATGAAGAAATTAATGTTTGAAAGTTCGGGTTTCATTTATTCTCCTAATTTGTTGCTTTAGAAAGAAAGAGTTATAGTAGATCATTTAATTTGCATGCATATGTATTTCTAAGCGTAAACTGATATGAAATATTGTACTTCTAAGATATGCATATTCTTTTGCTATATCTGCAATAGAAAGCTCAAACTTTCGCTATTTCTCCAAGAAAGCTTGACGCATGCGCAAATTTAAACATGATCATTTTTCTTATAACATAAATTTGTTACAATTTTCATAAATTTTTTTCTGTCAATTTCAAATGAAGTGCTGTGATATTTATAGTATAAACTAATAAAAAATATTGTTATCGGTTACATATTTCAATTACATGATTTTAATTTAATATGAATGTAGATTTTTTATTAGATTTGTGGCTAATACAGAAAACAATACATCTTTTTTTTATCGTGATTCTATTACATATATCAGTTTTTTAGTGATTGCTTGAAGAAAATGAAACAAATTGTTGATTGTTGATTGTTGATTGTTGATTGTTGAATTTCACTTGATAGATACGCGTCTCAAAAAGAAGAAAAGTCAGTATTAGATGGAGCACAACCACAGACGAGACGACATGCAGTGACACCGCCAAAAGATCATTATACATCAAGGTAACTTATTATATTTAATATTTTGACTGCATCAATTAATAGAATATTTATTTATTATTATTTTTATATTAAATATGAATGTATATGTTACCCAATGTAAACAACTGATGAACTCGGTAATCATGAATTTTGAATTTGCCAAAAAAGGCGGTAGCTTGTCGCGTTAAATCATGTCTATTTAATGAGAAAGTATTTACAGAACGACGAGTTGGCGCAGGTCACGAAACGATGCCAGAAGGAGCGATCAAGAATCAACTACACTTAGTCACCAGCAGGATGATGGTCTTGTTCTCAGAAGAGAAATAACAACTGGAAGAACAAGAATATCACCCAATACTATTGATCGTGTTTTTGATAACAGTAACAGACGTCAATATGGAATGGGTGTTGTTGGAAGATTTTTTGGGTAAGTTATCATTATAATTAATTTTATTTATCATCAGAATACGAAGACACTTTATAGCAAATACTATATGCGTAAATTATAATTCAATCTTACGGAATCGAATATTATTGAATTAACAGAATATTTAGAAAAAAAAAAAAAAAAAGAAAAAGAAACATACATTTTCTTATTGATTGAAATTATTTATTTAATGATTAACTGAATACTTCATTAAAATGATATTCAAATAAATTAATTTTTACAGTCGATCATTTCGTAAAAGTGTTGCTCACAAACCACAAGTAAAAAAGCAATTAGATGACATTGAAGATCATAGACCTTACTTTACTTACTGGATTACAACTGTTCAAGTTCTTGTACTTATTATTTCACTGGCGTGTTATGGATTTGGACCTATTGGTATTGATTTGAATCATCGATCAGGTCTTGTAAGTTATTATCTTAAATAATTAATGTTAGTAAATAATAAGACGAGTGATGGCAATACTTTTTATGATCACATTCAACAATGTTGTTTGCAATTGTTATTAAATTTTAATATTATTTTTGGTAATTATTTAAAAGAAGGGTCCACAATATTTTCTCCCATGAAAATAAAATTTAGATTTTTTTTGAAGAATGACATTTTTTCACGTTTAAAATTTTTTGAAATATTTTTTTTATAAATTATACTTTACTTCTTCTGTATAATTAAATTTTATAGAAAATCTCATAACTCAATACAATAACTAAAATTATAAAAGAATAAAAAATTACATAAAAATAAAGTACTGGACATAAAAAAACATAGTTTATAGAAAATTCCACAACATATAAATTACAAGAAATAGATACAATGCTTGGTTAATTATAACTGAATTTTCTATAGGTCCTCGTGACAAGTCTATCTTTGCAACAAGTAGACTATCAAGAGCCTGCAAACTTTTGGATCGGTCCGAGAGCAGCTGACCTCATTCATTTAGGTGCTAAATTTGCACCTTGTATGAGACGCGATATGAAAATTCTTAAGGAAATCGATGTATGGCGGGAACGAGAAAGAGATACAGCATGTTGCATCAGGAATGATGACTCAGGATGTGTGCAATCGAGTAAAGCCGACTGTTCAGTGAGTTTTTTTGATATTATAAATGTTTATTTTGTCGGGATCATATAAATCCTTCAGAATATTTATATAATATATGCATAACAGAAAAAAAGGTTATTGTACTTCAATAATCAAAAAGTATTGTTTGTTTCTTTCATACATTTTTGCGGTTGTATCAGATATCAAATTTCAATGTTTGTATTATTGATTAGCAGAAATTCATATTTTTGTATGTATATTGATGAAATTAAAAAAGAAATTGATTCCAGTTTTTAAATTTAAGTTCAGTTAGAAGTTGTTTTGTTAATAATTTTTTTTAGAAATGACAGTTAGGATTTTAATTATATTTTTTTAAGCTATAAACGAGAAAAATGTTGCTAGTCATTTTTAGATTTAACTTTTTTAAAATCATGATTAATCTATTAAAAAATAAAATTAATTGAAATCATATGGTTTTGAAGTTATTTTAAAAATATAAGCTTCATAATAATTTTCTTCTCAATTGTAAGTGTATCAATTATCAGATTTAATTTTATGACACTATATGACAACTTTACCTAGAAATTAAATGAATCTTTTACTTATTTTCGTGAATGTATGATTTATTATAATAAGATATTTTCTCATGCACACCAACTGATCCGGGGAGTGAGATCTACGATAACGGTAAATAATGTGAACTTGACCAAAACTAAAATAATTTTCAATTAGACTATTTATATTATTTTTTTTTTTTTTTTTGTCAAAATATTAAAGCAATAATAATCGATAATTTTTTAGAACACAATATCAACATGGAAAAAATGGGGCCCTGGTGATAATGGACCTGGTGGTCGAATAAGTGGATCTGTGTGTGGTTTAGATCCTAAATTTTGTGATGCTCCTGCTAGTATAGCGCCCTACGAATGGCCTGATGATATCACTAAATGGCCAATATGTCGCAAAACAAATCCATTTAGTCAACGATTTCGGTTAGTTATAACATCAAATGGATAAAATAAAAAAATAAATATAAAATTTCATGCCAATGTACAATGGTATGTTTCAGAAGTAACAATGGTCATGCTCAAAACAACAACAACTTTCCGGTTGGTCGGTATAAGGATAAAATGGCTGAGCATATGGTATGCGAAGTTATTGGACATCCCTGTTGCATTGGTATCCACGGAATGTGTAGGATAACAACCAAAGAATACTGTGATTTTGTACATGGATATTTCCATGAAGAAGCGTCTCTTTGTTCACAAGTTGAATGCCTTCATGATGTTTGTGGAATGATACCATTTTTGCACCCTGAATGGCCAGATCAATTCTACCGGTTATTTACTACAACATTCCTTCATGCAGGGTACATTTACGCAAATTTTTAACCAAATAAAAAAGAAGTTATTTTAAAAATTATATAAATGTTATTCAAATAATAATTTGTTATTTACAGAATTCTTCATCTTGCTATAACCTTATTCGTTCAATATTATTTGATGAGGGACCTCGAAAAATTAACGGGATCTTTAAGAATTGCTTTGATTTATTTTACGGGAGCTTTGGCTGGTAATCTTGCAAGTGCAATATTTATCCCCTACAGAGCTGAGGTACTGAATCATTTTACATAAATAATTTTTATTTTTACTTTATTCACTTTTAGTCTTAATAAATTGAACCTTTTTTTTTCTTCCAATAACGTAAGCTTGTTATTCTGCGAAATGTTAATCTTAAAATGAAATTTTCGATAAGAATATATTCTAATTAACAGAATCCTAAAATAAAGTTTTTTGTAAATGAAAGAGAAAAATTAAAAAAAAAAAATTAAAAACTAAAAACACTTATCTGATGAAAAATAAAGTTTTAAAAGCATGTATTTATTTTCAAGTCAACAAACTTTTAATTAAACAATCATTGTTAACACTATTCTAAGAAATTAATTATTATATAAACTAATTTAATATCTTTCTCAGTTAAATGATAACTTTAAAACTCTAATACAATTATCTTAATCTTCTTAAAGTCTTTTTTACTCCGTTACTTAACATCGATTTGCTATTATTATAGAAAAAACTTTTAGCGAGCATAAACTTACAACAGTATGATTCTTGTTTTTTTTTTATCATTTTTTTTATTAAATAACAAGAAAAGCTTTTTAAATTAAAAAATTTCTTGTCTACTGGAGTTCTTCACTCAAACAATTTACAATTTTTGAGAGAAAAAACTTTTTTAGAATTATTTCCATGAAGAATAGGGGAGAAAGGGGTCAATTGAACCAAAAAAAGTTTAGTAATTTTTTACTATTCGAATTAAAACTAAATAATAATTTTTTTTCTCTTGGAATGGTAGTTTATTAAGTCTACTATCATTATCAATACATAAATTAGTCAATAAACAACGTGAATTTTAAAAAATTATTAATTTATCCAAACGCGTCGAGTGGTTCAATTGACCCCCGCTCGGGGGCAATTGAACCAATACTATTTAAAACTCAAATCCGAACTTTTAATAAATAACATATTAATTGTTAGTTTTGCTAATATTACTGTTGCACATTTTGAATGCACATATGTTCATTATAAATTCAGTTCATCAAATTGTTAGGTTATTTCCCTAAGTATTTTTCACGTACAGTCAAGGTGCGCGCGCATGTCCCTTGCTTCTCCGTATGGTCCAATCGTCCCCGGGACTGCTGGTTCAATTGACCCCATATAATTTTAAAACAATTAATAATAAATAATAAACAAATAAACTATTATATCACTATAAACAAAGTTGAGGACTATAAAGTATAAGTATTTACAACTACTACAATTCAAACTTTATCAATTAATTAAAAAATTAATATATTATTAAACAATTTGTCACCAGCCGAAAAAAAAGTTTACATGCCTAAAAATAAGAAAATCTCAATTTTTCAAAATTTATTAATCGCAACGATTTCAAATTTTGATCATATCCGAGTTTAACATATCAGAATCTAATTCTAAGAGCATGAAGCGTTTTTTCAATTTTTTCGATTTTTTAAGTCGAGTGGTTCAATTACCCCATGGTTCAATTGACCCCTTTCTCCCCTACTCGTTAATTAAAAATGAAAAATCTAAAAACAGGTTACTTTATTTTTATATAAACTCATAAATTCGAATCAAACTCAAATTGTTTTATAAATATTCATTAATTAAAATAACTGTTGATTTATTTTTTTATAGGTTGGTCCTGCTGGAGCTCATTTTGCTTTACTTGCAACATTAGTCGTGGAGGTTCTCAATTGTTGGCCAATGTTGAAACACCCACGTCGGGCGCTTACTAAATTAATTTTAATCCTCGTTGGATTTTTAATACTCGGAGTTTTGCCCTGGGTTGATAATTATGCTCATTTTTTCGGTTTTATTTTTGGTTTCTTTGCATCCTACGCTCTCCTACCGTTTATTTCTTTTGGTGAATACGATCGTCGTAGAAAGATAATCCTTATTTGGATATGTTTTGTACTTATATTAGGTTTATTTGGTCTTCTTCTTGCTCTTTTTTACAACATACCAGTGTATGAATGTGAAATATGTAAACTTTTTAATTGTATTCCATTTACTCGTGATTTTTGTGCATCTCAAAATATAAATTTCAAAAGAGAAGAACCTGTATGACATATGGGGCCGCGGTTACCAGTCGAGCGCCGAGTACCGTTCGGCCCCCAAAATAACGCTCGTCCTAACGCACATAATTATAATTTTCTTGTGGATATTGATGGAAATAATTATAAAATCACTGTTGCCATCTTAACAATGGTTATCTCGGTTTCCATATAAGTACTCGAGATACAAATACAATAAAAGTATTTAAACTGTACTTAAAATTTTATAAATATTAAGTCCAATGAAAATGAATATAATCATTAAATTACATATATTGTACAGTTATTATTAATGACATATACATATGTTAACAAAATAATTAATCACTCTCAACCTTTTCCACTACTGCCATTCAATTATTCAGAAGATTGATATAAGTGACTCGTTGATACGCGATAAATGAAAAAATACATGCCTTAAAATTAATCGATCGAACTTTAGGAGCGTTTTAAACTCGAGGATCGAATAATTATCTCGAGCCGATGTAAATATTATAGTGCTATACGTGAAGCGAGTCAATTGTATGAGTTGGGTTTGGATTTGGATAGATGCATTACAATGTTCATCCACGATGACCGCGAGTGCGTAAAAAAATTATTACAATAACGAAAATGTAAATAAAAAATATAAATTCTTATCTACTTATCATTTAATTAAACCTTATTATAGAGTTTATTTGTGCAATGGAAACTAAGTGTGATGATCTCAGTGTCAAAAAAAAAAAAAGAAAATAAATAAATAATAAAATAAAATAAACTAAACTAAACTAAACAGTAGAAACCGAAATCACTTATTTGTATCTTTAAAAACAAATTTATAATCATTAGAATGAATTAATTAAAATTTATGTTAAATAAGTAATGGGAACATTAATTAAGTGGCGATGACGTAGTCACTGTTGATAAATAAAATTTTTTTTATAAAAGTGAATACTTACAGTGCGTTAAAAAACTTTCTAATCAATTTAATTAAATAATTGTAAATAATTATAATATATATATAATAAACAAAGTATTATGGTCGCAGATGAATATTAATAAGTCTGTGTCTCTGAAAGTGACTCTAAAACATTTAATTCAATTAATGTAATAATGTGAATGTGTATTTTATTATTGGAAGAATATTGTTCAGATAATGGTAACAAGAAAATAAATTATTCCGTACAGCATAATTAAGCGAAAGTCACCTATGCTTATTCATTAATATAAACTAATGGTTTTATCTTTCAAGTTTTATCTTTTCATATGATTTTATAAAAAAAAATACATCTCAAATAATTGACTCTGTAGATCGAAGTTAAAGAACAGTAAAATTTAATATTAATTTTTTTTCTTGTTTAAAATCTTCATAAAGTTATGTATAGCGACTATATTTTATTATAAACTTGATATTACAATATTTCAATGTTAAAGGTATTTCATAGTTAGAGATTTTTATTCTGAATTCGATAAATGAAAGGTCGCATAGAATCATATTATATTTTAATTAATTTTGCGACGCATTATTTAATTTTTTTCTGGGCTAGTTATTTGATAAAACTTGATAAATTAAACCACCAATCGATCAAGACGCAAAAAATTTGTCATTTTAAATTACTCTCATTTGTTTACGGCTAACCCCGTCTAAACTATTTTTTCCACACGGTGCAAATATGAGAAGATAATACTCGAAAAAAAAAGATCTTTTTTCGAGACATTATACATACATTAAGTGTGCGCGCGCGCGCGCACACGTGTGTGTGTGTGTGTGTGTGTGTGTGTGTGTGTGTGATCGTTTGAATCAATTTTTTTAATTTAATAATAGAATGATTTAATTTTAAAATCATATTGTTTTAATGGACTATTTATCGTGAATAACTGAGTGCGTAAGTGAAAGAATTATTAGAAATGAATATCGTTCGTAGAAACACACATAAAATGAAATGTGCCACGAATGAACTAATATAACAATGATATAATAACTGCGTGTAATTTGTAAAATAATTCGTTGCCGTTGCGGCGTCATTGCACTAATCATATCTTTCACTTGTGACATTCTCCATTTACACATTACTTATTATTGACCTCTTAATAAATTAAGACGGAGAAAATATCACGATTAATGTTCATTGTACCATTATTACATTAACTTGTTAATAATTTAATTACTTAATGTAAAAAGTATATGAAAAATATCTATAAGTTAATTCTTTGGTTAAAAATGGTTGCTTACATTAATTTTATGAAAATTCAGTGACAGGCTGTTGATAATTATAATTGATAATTAGGTTTATTAATTACTCGTTACTCCGTCTTATGTTGTTAGTTTCTAATAATTTTTACTCAAAATAAAATTTCTGAAATACTTCGATACGTTTTAAGAACATAATATGAAATTTTGTGATTGAAAAAATAATGAAATTATCTAGGTATTGTTTCTTAAAATTATTACATAAATGTTACGAAAGAATGATTGAGCAAAGTGCTTTGAACGTATCAACCGTATACGGTTTCTCCTTAAAAAAAGACTATGTATAGGAATATAAGAATTAAAATTAAAATACAAGGTGTACAGAGATACGAAAAAATGCATCGAAAGTTTGGCTCTTGGGGGTAGTTCTTTCGCCACTTTGTCTCTAATGGCATGAATTATTTATTAAATGTAAATCCTATTTTTTTAGCCTTTAATCCTATACATAAAAATCAATTTATTTTGTTCTTTTTTTATCACTTATTCGTGATGTAAAATATTCGAAAAAAAGAACGAATGAATATCAAAATATTTTGCGAAAGAGTTTTTCCTGACAACCTTTAAAAAATAATAAAAATTTTGTTAAGTTCATTTTAAAAATTAATTATGGTAACAACTTTTAAAGAAAAGATGTCATCGTACTTCCCTGTACACTTATGGAATGTGAATAATGAAAACTTTTAATGAAATTAAAATAAATAAATAAATTTACCAACCGAATAAATAATTTATAATAATTACGTAAACATTATTTCATGAAATATCATTTATAATATCAGTATATATGCACTCACTACCTATAAATTTAAAATTGTATTATCCTCTAATACTGCCTGGAAATCATAAGGTAATATTTATTATATCATTATACTAATATTATTTTTATTATTATTAATTATAATTAATAATTAATATTACTATCATTAATCACAATGTATCTATATTGTTGTATTTAAAAGCCATACTAAATATATAAAGTTTATAAATACAGTTTATGATTTAACCCTTGCAATTACAACAAAAAAAGATGAAAAAAAAAAAAAAAGAACAATGCAATAGACTAATATGACTTTGTTCAGCATGACAGTCTTATAATTTAATTGATGTTATTTTTTTATGTTCGGTGATTTTTTAATCCTCAACATTCTTACTGCAATTATGATTTTCAAGTTAAACTTGAAGTATATAAAAGAACCGCTACCTGTAAATATTATAACCTTAAAATTTTTATATGAAAAATAATAATTTTATTTATTGTTTGAAGTTTATAATTAAATGACAATGAACTAAAATTTGTTCTACACTCTTTATGTTTTCAATAAAAAAATATTACAGTGCTCCTTCCCTAAGATATAACAGGTTATCTTTTTTTCTCTTGTTAATAACTAATGAAAAAAGGCCATTCGGCAGCCGAAATGGAAGTAGATTTTTCAAATAAAGAAAATTGATTTTTAATGAAATAATATAAATACTAATAATGTATAATTTAATTCATGAATTAAAAACAAAATTCAATAATAAATTTAAAACTATTTAGAACAAATTTCGGAAAAAAAATTATCTTGTGAAGAAAAAGTTTCTCAAATATTTATCAAACAATTGCAAAGATTATAAGATTTGAATTATAAATGTCCAAATTTTAAGTAACTGCTTAGAAACAACAGTTTCCAAGTTAATCAGAATTTTGAAACCGGATTAAATTTTAATTGAAGAAAACAATATTTAGAACTAATTTGTGACATATTTACTAACGACCTACCCGAAAACATTACAGGAAAGACTGATCAATATCGTAATTATTGAATTTACATCATGATTAAGCTATGATGCAGACAATAATTCTAAAACGGCTGCAACAGTAAAACAGTTTCATTAAACGAATTCTAAAAGACGTAATATTGAGGCTATTACCACTTCTAAGTAGTGAAAATTGAAGCTTATTAAAAGAGCTTTACGATGCATTTTACCGAATTTTAATATCTTGTCTAGTTCAGTAATTATACCAAGTTGAAGTAGTAAAAACCGCAATTTTTACGATTTTCAAAATTTCAAAATCCTGTCATTTTCAAATTACTCATCCGATTAAGCTCATCTTCGAACTTAACCTTCGTCTTGATCAATAGATAAAGCATGTTGAGTTTGAGAAGAATCGGTTATAAATTGAAAACGCTATCGTGCTGACAAACCGCGTTATATCGTATAAATATGTATATGTATATTTTTTTGGAACCAGGCTCAAAAGTTTCGTTTAGATGCCAAAATAGGCCTCTTAAAATATGAGCCCTTAATATTAATATTAAAGTTGTCCGCCTCGCACTTTTCGATTTCCCATAAGAATAACACAGGAAAAAAATTTTTTTTTTGTTCTGATTTTTGTAACTAATGAACCATGAATTGCTCTGCAATTTCCATCAAACATTTTTGTAGAGAATTGAACGTTCTACAAAAAAGTTCTAATATCATTTTTCGATTAATCAACCCATTCAAAAGTTATTCAAGGTCAAAGTTAAATTCATTATCAATTTAGCTGTTTTCTTTATAATCTTCCGAAATTTATTAGTTTCAAATTCTCAAAATAAATGGAAAGTTTATTTCTAAGCTCTTAGAGTTTAAAAATATAAAACTATCATTTTTTGTCATTAAAGATTGCTGTAATTGTATTGAAAAATCATTTTTAAATAGATTGTGCATAAAAATAAGTTAAATTTTATTCATGGCCTGAAGAGTTATTCGTGTTTCTGCGTTTTCATAATTCAGACCAGCAGACAAGTGATTTTATTTAACATCTATGTATTTATGATTAACAAATATTATAAATTAATTACTTAAAACTTATAACAAATGTATTACTTCTCATAAATTCGAATTTTTTTTGTCTAAAAATGATTTTTACACATTTACATGAAATTGATCTTGCTGAAGAGTTGTCTTATTATAATTGGGATATCTCTGCCGATGTTCGCGACTACTTGCAATAAGTATTGCAGTTGTTGCTCATCTTTTGTGAGGTAATTGTTGTATTCCTCAATCAAACCAACACCTCGTTCAGCTACATCATTAGTGACTTTCAACGTATTGAAATATTCTGAACATTTCTGATTTATCTTATCATGAAATGTTTTAGTTAAAATTTTAAGACTGTTATTCAATTAAATATCAGTTTAAAAAAATTGATCTCAATGAAACGATTGATGTAAATTTTCAAAAACGAGATATCTCAAATCTATAGAGCTAACTGTCATTGATAAATTGTTTTATGTACTTCGTCCATCTTTATCATGTAGCGAAAAATATTGGTTAATAATCCTCAGAAGTCTAATTAGTATTTTATGAAATATTTGGGGAACATTTTTTCTAAAAAAAACATTTTTGCCAAATCATTCAGAAAAACGGCTAAATTGATAATGAATTTAACTTTGACCTTGAATAACTTTTGAATAACTTTTAATACTAATATTAAGGGTTCATATTTTCAGAGGCCTATTTTGGCATCTAAACGAAACTTTTGAGCCTGGTTCCAATAAAAAAAAAAAATTTTTTTTTGAAACACTCTTATATAAATACATACATATATAAACTTTTGAACGAACTACATATTCTGACTCAGCTCGACAAACTGAGTCAGAAAATCGCTAAATTTTTTAAAAGTTGCGCCATGAGGACGGCTGCAATAGCTAGATTTTTATAAAATCTACTAAAAATTGAGACAGCTAATATATCTTAAGGAGGGAACACTGTAATAGCATTTGACGATGAAGTCCTTATATTAGTTATTAATTTACTAATTAATTAAGTTTTAAAGAAAAACGTTTACTTTTTTTTACTGTTTATATTGAAAAAATATTACCATCTTCATGAAAAATTAATCTCAACTAAAATTATTATACGAAATCACCCGAACATATAAAAAATTTCTTACTTTAATAAATTCCATTAGCTATCATTAATCAATGGATGAGTGTTAAAAAATAGCAATAAGTATAAAATTAAGTAAGCGAATGTTAGCGAAACTGATAAATTACAGTTAGAATACTAATCATGAACTAATCATTAAAAATTTTTCTATTGAGAAAAAGTATTTTACTTATGGTGATAATGAAGCATTTATAAATCAATTTAAAAATTTTAGGTACAAATTGGTATATCTTGACGTAATAATAATTTTGGATCGGCTAAGAGTTTTTAAAATTTATAAATAATAAATATATTATAAATTAACTCTGATTTTAAGAATAAAAAAAAATAGAAAAATGAAATAATAATCGTAAAATGCATAGAAAAAAAAATTAAGAAAAAAAATCTGTTTGTATATTTTTTCAAATAATTATTTGTTTAATAATGAATTTATTTATTTGAAAATATCTATCAGAATAAAAAATATTTTTCGTTTTTTTTGTAATTTAAATATTTAATAAGTCTCATTTCATTAAAATAAATATTTATTTTCTCTAATTAACTTAGTTTCAACCTAAAATCATCGACATATACGAAATCACCCGAACATATAAAAAATTTCTTACTTTAATAAATTCCATTAGCTATCATTAATCAATGGATGAGTGTTAAAAAATAGCAATAAGTATAAAATTAAGTAAGCGAATGTTAGCGAAACTGATAAATTACAGTTAGAATACTAATCATGAACTAATCATTAAAAATTTTTCTATTGAGAAAAAGTATTTTACTTATGGTGATAATGAAGCATTTATAAATCAATTTAAAAATTTTAGGTACAAATTGGTATATCTTGACGTAATAATAATTTTGGATCGGCTAAGAGTTTTTTAAAATTTATAAATAATAAATATATTATAAATTAACTCTGATTTTAAGAATAAAAAAAAATAGAAAAATGAAATAATAATCGTAAAATGCATAGAAAAAAAAATTAAGAAAAAAATCTGTTTGTATATTTTTTCAAATAATTATTTGTTTAATAATGAATTTATTTATTTGAAAATATCTATCAGAATAAAAAATATTTTTCGTTTTTTTTGTAATTTAAATATTTAATAAGTCTCATTTCATTAAAATAAATATTTATTTTCTCTAATTAACTTAGTTTCAACCTAAAATCATCGACATATAACAAGACAGATACATTCATAAGAATCACAAGTAAGATTTAAGATTTAAGATTTAGATTTATTAATGCCAAAGCACAGGCCAGATGGCAACTATAAAATATTACATAATAATACAAAAATACATAGCAATCATAATTTATAATTTATGGTTTTCGATTTAACAATTTGCTCAGTAAGGTTAGGCGTACAAACATAAGTAATAAAGTGAGCGCGACTAGCGACTTTCGGACTTTCTGCCGTCTCGTGTCTCATTGTCAGTGCATGAATACATTATTTCGGCAGCCCGTTGGAGGGCGCATGCGCGACTTGATCACGGCATAAAACTGAGGCTTTCTGCCGTGAAATCGCAGCAGGAACCTCATACTTTCGACCGGCGTAGTAAGAAAAAATGTTTTCTACTGCTTAAATGAGAGACAAAAATTACGATTAAGAATCTTTACCGTCAATGGATTTCTTATTAGTAGATTTCATAGAAATCTAACTATTGCATTGGTCCTCATGATGTAACTTTTGAAAAATTTCGCTATATTCCGGCTTAACTCGACGAGCTGAGTCAGAAGATACATATGGTTCAAAAGTTTATATATACACGGTATACGATATAACGCGGCTTGTCACGACGATAGCGTCGTCAATTTACAACGGATCCTCACCAAACTCAACATACTTATTTTACAGATAGATACCGAAGTCAAGTTCGAAGATAAGCGTAATCGGTCAAGTAATTTAGAAATGCCAGGAGTTCAAAATTTTCAAAATCATAAAAATTCATATTTTATCACATTCTTACTCAAATAACTTTTGAATGGAATAACTTATTGAAACTCTGTAAATTGCATCTGAAAGCTCTTTAAATAAGCGTCAATTTGTGTACTACATCATATGTGTAGTCTCAAAATTATGTCCTATTCCACTATGCCAATTACGAAATTTGCTATTGCATTCATTTTATAAAATTTTTATTTTATTTTTTTCATTAGAAAACTTTTATTGTAATAATTACAATAAAAATCATACGTCAAAATTCAATTGCTTTTGATTGATAAGTAATAAAATGAAATCTACTTCCATTTCGGCTGCCGAATGGTCTTTTTTTTACTTTAATTTATTAAATAATACTGTGAAAACTCTTCGCAATTTATTTTCGGTTAAATCAAGATCTCGTTTTTGTTGTTTTAGAAGCTTGAAGTTTCTCCATCTTTCACGAGTTTTAGCATTGCGTGGGCCCCAATTGTCTGCTGGTTTAAAAATCTACAAGAAGTTTTAGAAATTAATTATTTCATATAAATTAGTTTTTTAAAATATTGAGCTCAACATACATCAGAGAAGCTTTTTTCTTTGTTACGTATGATGGTGGTGAACATTAAAATTATAAACGGCAATACTCCACAGGCTAATAAAGCCCAACCAGCAACTAATAAATAAAAAAAAAGTCGTTTAAAACTGTATTCAATGATTTTAGTTATTTAATATTTTAAGTTATCCAAAAATATTTTATACCATATGAAGAAGTTGGATAATATTCATCATTGTATGTAAGTGGTTGTAGTGTGATTAAAAAATAAATTAATATTGTGAAGAGCATAATTGGTGTTAAGAAGACCCAACAAATGCGCCAGAAGAAAAACGGTCTTTTATTTGTCATAAACTCGATGTCGTCCAGAAAATTATCGATTCCTAAAAAAATTTTATACTACTATGTAATAATATAAAAATTATTTTTTTTTTATCATTTATAGATGACTTTACCATAAAACCATGAAACACCAACAACTTCTAGCATCGCTAAAACCATAATTATAAATGTGCCTCCAAAGTAATCTACTAAATTAATCATATATAATCCGGCCTGAAAAATAAATAAAAGAAAATATTTATCTAATTAATTTTACACTTACTATTAAAAACGTAATTATTAAAAAGTGGGGTTCACACTACTTGTGTTCATGAAAAATAGGATAGTTAATTTTTTCATAAATTTGTTTTTTCCTTAATGCTCGATTTTTTTGGGGTGTTAAAGACTCCGAATAAATTGTTCAACAAAATTTTGAATTTCTAATAGTAAATTCGACTTGTAAATTTAAAAAATTGCAATTTTTGCAATGAGCGCACTGTAAAGAAAAAAATAACTTGAATCAAGAGATAAATTCTTGAACTAAGAAAATAATTTTGAAAAGTTTCATTGTCTTGAATCAAGACGAAAAATTCTTGAATCGAATGAAATTTATTTAAATTAAGAAAAGTTTCTTATTAGTTTAAGAATTTTTCTACTCAAACCAAGCAGATGAAGTTCAAAATTATTTACTTGATTCAAGTAAATTTTTTTTTTTTACTAATCACACACTCTTCGTAAAATTTAAGGGAGCAAAAATAAATTCAAAATTTTACGGTGATTTTTAATAAACTGTATTTCAGTGAAAAGTTATCTTAGCAAAAAAAAATTTTGTCAACAAATTGTTTTAACTTCCCGCTAAGAAAATTGAAAATTTTCAAAAATCGGGAAGTTATTGTTTTTTCTCACCTCCGGGCGGAAAGCGTCAATTTTCCTCCCGCTGCGCTAAACGAAAATGCCGCTTTCCGCCTCCATTGAGGAGAAAAATAGTATACACACCACGGGCAGTAAATAAGAAAGCCTCAGATCACATGTTTATTGACCTCGGCTTCGCCTCGGACAACAATTACATGTGATCTGAGACATTTCTTAAGAAAGCCTCAGATCACATGTTTGTTGATTACATGTGATCTGAGACATTTCTTACTTTACTTCCCTAGGTCTGTAATATACTATTACCCCGATTTTCGAAAATCGAGTTTTCATCAGATCTCGACGTTTTGAGGTCCTAGGAAGCCTCCTTGACTATTCCCGCGATGGTGTATTTTTTTTTAATAACTTTCAAACGGCTCGACCGATCAATTCTAAAAACTAATTAGCTCTTAGCATCAAAAAACCACGTCGATCGCCACCAATCTGGTCAAAATCGGTTGATTCATTCGTGAGTTATCGTTGACGAAAGAAATCGAAAAAAAGTGTTTTTTTCGAATTACACCGAAACTTCCGATCTTATCAATTTGGGTTCAAAAATGTATCATAGAATTTAAAAAACTGCGTCGAATGCCGCCAACCGCGTGAAAATCGGTTCATTCATTCAAAAGTTAATGCGGTTTGAAAATTAAAAGAATAGTGTTGTATTAAACTTCTGTCAGACTTCTGAGCTCGGAGAGCTCAAAACTACACGAAAATTATATTTTTGAGCTCTTTGAGCTCAAAAACGTAATAAGTACAATTTTGAGTGCTTAATTACGAAAGTAGCGGGAAGTTGCAGGGATGGCCTTCAGGGTCAACCGTTTTCCTAATTTTTTCCTCCTTTTTTCGGCTATCTTCACTATTTATCGATGTTAAAGCAACAAAACAAAAGAAATAAAATTTCTTAGCCATTTCCGAAAATAAAAAAATGTTTGTTTTAGGGAGCAAATCTTGCTCCCTTAATTTTTTCCAAAACTTCAATCAATCAGTCAAACTGTTTGATGGTTCAATTTGCAAATTGGGATTTCGATTTTTATGGATTAAAATACAGGGGATCTCAATTTTAAATAATTATCATAACTATTGTAAAAAATGATCTTACCGGTGTACAGTAACAGATTCCAATACCAAAGCCAACTGTACAAACAGCGAGTACAATTTTCCATTGTGAGTATCTAGGAAATTGATCTTTAATAACACTGATGACAGTACTGCAAAAAGCCACGGATGAACCAATAGCAAGTGTAAATAACATCAAGAAAAAACAGACTGCAAATACAGATGGAACGACAGAAAATTGCGCTAAAGCTTCTGGATAAGAAATAAATGCCAATCCACTTCCTGATCTGACGACTGAATGGAAGTCATCGGTTCCTAATTTGAAAGCTAAATTGCCTAAAATTCCAAAAATAGTGGTACCTGCTATGAGACTTGTACAAAGATCGAGAGTTGAAACGATCATACAGTCCCTAAAATTTTTAAATATTAATTGCCAAAAACATTAATTTTATAATAAGTATTAAAGTTAAAATTACAGTTTTTACCTTGTGACATTGTGCTCAAATTTGTTGTAGGAAGCGTACATTATGACGCCGCCAAAACAAACACCAAGTGAAAAAAAAGATTGAGTAACGGCGGCATACCACACTTTTGGATCAGTCATCTTGCTCCAGTCTGGTCGTAAAAAATATATTATTCCTCCGATAGCACCTTCTAGAGTTATAGCTCTTCCAAACAACATGAACATCATAAAATATGGGAATATTGCCAGAAAATATGATGCTTTTCCAGCACTTTTCACTCCTTTGAAAAGAACTAAAAAGATAATGGCCCAAGTAGTGAGAAGACATAACACCAATCGCCATGAAGGAGTACCAAGTCCATTTTCTATTCTGCTTTCATTAATGACCTCTTTGCTGGTAAAGATCCACGTAATTGTTAATTTTTTAATTTTCAAATAAATTTCGTTTTTATTTATAGTAAGTGTTGTAATGATATCTCACAAGAAAAAATGTTCTGCGCTACTCTTTGAAGAATTGATACCTGAAGACTGTGGACTTGATGAGTTAAAACAAGGTTCACTCCATTCCGGAAAACATTGAGACCACGGTAACGTCGACTGGAAGGATATTATTAAGTAATATAAAATGATAGACGATAAACCTGAATAGTAAGTTTGTACTAAAAATACTGCTATGGTCATTCCATATCCGATACCTAAAATACATTTTTTTTTTTTTAATTAAAATTTTGCAATTCAAGTGTATAAAGTTGTTTTTTTATATTGTCTATACCTCTAAAAGATGGGGAAAGAGCCCACATTTTAACACATGATTGACTCGTAAATTGCCCGAGCATTGATTCCATGTAGTACACTGGCTTTCCAACCATGAAAAGAACAATAATGTATGTGATAACAAATGCACCACCACCATTTTCGTATGCAGTATAAGGAAATCTCCAAACATTACCAAGACCAACAGAGTATGCAATGCATGACATGAGAAACTCAATAGGATTTCCCCAAGTAGCTCGATCTGTTTCCGTTTCTTCTGGTATTTTCATTCCGTTCTGTTGATATTCAAATTTGGTAAACACATAGGATTTAGATAATCCAATTTTGAAAAAAATACACGGAGAGAAATTTATAGGAACTTTTCCAAAAATTATGGGAATGGTTCCTATAATAAAATGATCATTATAGGTATCAATCCTATGCTCATTATGGGAACCATACCCATAGTTTATTGGAAACGTTCCTATACAACAATGGAATAGCTTCAATATATTATGGAAATGGTTCCTATAATATTATATGATTTTTGTCAATATATAGATATACATTTAACATTGGCTAATGACGGCATTTATTTTTCTTTTAATTGATACACTTTAATTAGTCGGACAAGTGTAAATTTTTAACTTCCCGCTAAGAAAATTGAAAATTTTCAAAAATTAGGAAGTTATTGTTTTTACCCTGTCTTGCGAAAATCGAGTTTCCATCAGATCTCGACGTTTTAAGGTCACAGGAAGCTTCCCTGACTATTCCCGCGATGGTGTCCGTGCGGCTGTATGTATGTATGTGTGTGTGTGTGTGTGTGTTTTTTTTGGGGGGGGGGGGGAATCCTTTTTACGGATTCTAGGCATAGATGTTGGCCCGGATATGTGGCGACTCGACGCAGCGTCATACTAAAACTTGACGCTGACGCCCCTACCCACTAAACCCTAAACCCCTTTCCTCTTTCCTCTAATCCCTCATGGAAACCGCCGTCAGGCATTACTTCGTGAGGGGAGGATCTAGCTACTGCTCTTCCTTCTGATGGCTAAGGTGTTAACTACCTTCCTATATGTATGAGTCCATATATGATCAGATCTGATCATATATAAGTCTATATATA